TATATATATATATATATAGAGATACCGGGGGGTGACGTTTTTTGCGATATAGAGAGGCATTTTTCTTGTTTCTTTGATTTTCCATTGATGTAGGAAGCAATTTTGGAGTGGTCAGGCCATTGCCATTTCTAGAAGATATGGGAGCATGGCCCTCCTCCTTCCAAAGAGTTTTTGAAAATTTATTACTGTGAAATTGAATCTTGAACCATTTTAACTACAGATACAGCATGCATGCAACATAAGTATTGGATTACAAGAAACAGGTTCTAATACATAAGTTGTAGCTGTACATGCTATGAAAAAGTGGCCTTATTGCTTTCTGTGGCCCTGTTTACTGTTACCACTACTTACTGTATTTTCACAAGTTGCATTTAAAGGTTTTTAATTTTGATGGTAAAGGAATTATTGCAGTGTTGAGTCCATCATCTAATAGTTGTGTGTGTGTGTGTGTGTATATAAGCTCATAAAACATCCAAAGTATAAATTACTCAAGTCAATAAAACTTATTTAATATAAATACATATCTATTTTAGCCAATGTATGTAACATTCTTTTAACAAGAAATTACTTTATTTTTATGATGATTTATGTTAAAGGTTAATACTTTAAGACTTAAACCTGACAATTTTAAAGACAGATTGAATGAGAAAGGTTAAGTTAACAGTTGAATTGATTTTATGAAACTTAGAATAGTATGATACACAAGTTTGTTACAATGGCTCATCACAATATGCCTAAATGTTTTAAGATAGGTCTGACATACCTATATAAACTGTTCTGAAGTAATAATTTGTTATGGAGTTACTGTAGTGTTCCCTAACTTCTATTAATGTTAAATATGTCTACTTGACTTTACACTAGTTGCTCAGTTTCAGGGGTTTAGTGTATGAGAAATTACCTTGCAAGTAATATTTTATTACAGAAACTAATAATTGAATCATGTTACATAAGTGTGTAATTTTCTATTTAAAAAAAAGAGTTTAGAAACATGTAATCTTCCCTTTAATGCATTGTGATTTTTTTATATGGATTTTAATAAAAAAAAAAAACTTTCAAAGTAAAAGAACCAAAAAGAGGGAATTTTTAAACTTGTTTGAGCTCTCATTATTAGGTTATTCTTGCATTCATTGCACTATAATTTTTCATTATCTTTATTAATTTTATATTTATTTGTTTCCAAGATTAACGACGCAACCTTCTGGGGTAAAGATTTCATATTGAGTGGTTCAGACTGTGGGCATATTTTTATTTGGGATCGATGGACATCAGATATAGTGATGGTCTTGAAAGCTGATGAATGCATGGTCAACTGTATTCAACCACATCCATATGATCCAAGTAAGAAGACACTATTGACTTGTATGCTCGTGTTATGTAGAGAACAGTATTTGTTTCTCAAGTTTGATGTTTAGTTCCTATCTGATAAAAATTTGCACGTGTATTTATATTTAGTTATAGTACAGATTTGTATAATTCTGTTACTGTTAGGATTTTATCATTTTCTTCATTGTTGAGACAAGCACGGTATTTTAAAGAAATCATGAAATCCTTGCAATCTTACAGAACAGAAAATTAAATACAATAGTGTATGCTTTTCCTTTGTGTGTGTACATACATACGTTTATGGATGCATGTATGCAACTTGCATCAGATGCAGTTATGAATTTGACTTTATGGCTTGTGATGGAAAAGGTAGAAATAAATCATGGATAGTTAATCATAAAATGAGATTTAATGCTGTAATTTTTTCCCATGAATTTTTAGCCTCTTTATTTTCCAGTAATTGTGAGAATTTCATAAAGAATTTTGAACTATTTTAGTTCTAGCCTCCAGTGGCATGGGTCACAGCATAAAGGTCTGGACACCCATGTTTGATGAACCTTTCTTTGACTGGATAAAAGCTAGAGAGGTAAGTTTGATATCATACATTTTTTCAAAGTAAAGCCTATAATTTTTAAATGATTTTTTAGTTTTATAAGCCAACTAAAATATAAAAGAAAAATAAATAAATAAAAACACTTCTGCTTCTATCCAAACCTTAACCTTCATTATATCAACGTGTAACCAATCTAAATATCAGTGTACAACCAACTTAGATATACATATGTTGCGTGTATAATGCTGGATCAGGAAATTTATATTGTAAAAATACAACTTTTGCTGGAAGAAATTTCAGGGATGTGAAGAAGGGAAATTTTCATTTAAGACAGTAGCTTAATCCTAATTCTGGTGTTTTTGTAGATTAGTTTATTACTTTCCAAACTCACCAGTGTTTTGCATCTAGTGGCTTACTATGTTTACAACAAATACATTCTATACCTCAGTAGTTTACTCAAAAATAATTTTTAATACTTGACCTTGATTCATTAAACTTCACAATGAGCATTTTATAAACTTGGCTAACATTTAGTAATTTTCTTAACCCTTTTGAGATGGGTCACAGGTGAAAGGCCATGTCATCTTGTTTGTTGACTCTCATTCAAAATTTTATTGAACTAGTATTTCCAATAAGTTTGGTATCAAACTGTAGATTATAATTCAAATTTTAGAACTACATTACCCAATTTCTTAATTTAAAAGTAAATATTAAAAAAAAAGATTAAACATCGATTTTTGTGTGTCATGGGTTTGTTGAATACAGCACTGGTTCAAATTAGATGTTTGTGTTGTCAAAATACTAAGACTATAGTTTCGTACATATTAGAAACTCAAATTACAGATATTGACAAGCTAGATTATAAAATAAGAAGGTCTTATCTTTCTATTGCTAGATAT